CAGGCTCTGGAGACCACAGCTGGGCTATCTGAACAGGGAAAGGTCATGCGAGAAAAGAGGAGGAGATGTTTAATAATAAACATGAAATTTGCAACTTCTTGATCATTTCCTAAATCAGCTGCTCATTTTTTTAATTCCTCTTTTTGTTTTCTTAAAGCAGCTGCAGGTATAACAGAGGATCTCCCCCCTCCCTAGGGGCCCTGACAAGGGCGATGAGACCTACAGAAACCCCCAGGTCCCAGGACACTGAGGTTGGGGGGAGAGACCTCGATCGCCGGACAGTCAGCTTCTGCGCTTGTGGCGAGGTAGCAGGCATCGCGACCCGTTCCCCAGGAGAGAATCCTAGGGGGAACGTGCAGCTGGGGGGCAGAGGGCCCAAATTAAGAATCAGGGTGCGGGCGCTGAGACCGGAGAGTGAGGCCCACTCCCACCCGCCTTCCACATCCCTAGGCGGTTGACACAATCCTCCTTACGCAGAGACCCCCTCCCCACTGCCCCGCGACACTCCACTGCCCGCCTTCCTGCGATCGCTGACTCCAGCTCCTCCGGCCCCGCACCCGGATCGCCTCGGCTCGGCCTGAACAGCCCCTTTACCTTCCGACAGCCGCGCTCTCCCCGCTCCCCTCCGGGCCAGCGCCACGAGATTCCTAGCCGGCCTCCAGCCCGCTGGCACTGCGGAGCGAGCGGCCCGGGGCACTCTGCCTTAAAACCCGCGCGTGACGTCACGTGGCGCGGACCAATCAGCAGCCCTGCGGCAGCGAGGCGGGGCGGGGCGGGGCGTAGAGATAAGCGGACTGGAACCCGGGCCACACTCTGATGGACGTCTGGTCAATTGGTGACCGTTTTATTTGATCTTTTCTACCATAATCTAATATTTGGAATTAAACTCGGGATAAATCCGGGATGGAAGGTGGGAGGGGCAAAAGGCACACGCGTGGCAGCATTTGACTAGGGAGGAGAGGTGAAGAGCGTAACACTCTCAATACCACCACATCCCCCTCACCCAGGCAGAGATATCCACCCCACGTATATACGCTCCCTTGGCCGGGTCCACTCGAGAGATGCTGACAAGGCTTCCTCCTTTATCCTTCCTAATTCAATGTTTTAACCTGTGTGAACATGGAACCCCATAAAACAGCCTAAACCCATTACCCCTATTGATCTTTGTAACAGCCAGAGGATGAACAGGAAGAGGGGGAACCAATGAGAGACTGGTGTCGTCTGCATTATATAGGTGAAGAAAGCTCTGAAGGGCTCAATGACTTGTCTAAGGTCACATATAGCTAGTAAGTGGCTGAGCAAGGATGTGTCTGAATCCAGTGCCTTGGCCCCTCGCCACTTACCTATCCAATCTCTCTCCTCAGGGAGATTCTCAGCAGAAGTCCCCCCCCCCCCGTTGTTGGTCAGAGTGCCTGCCAGCAGCAGACCCCCTGAGGGCCTCCCTTGTTCAAATCGATAAAGACAAAATCCTTCACTTCACAGGGTGTTTACTGACCTCATTAATACTGTCTGCTCTGCATGAGCCAGAGACTGTGGAGACATAGAGGATGAGCAGACCACGGGGCCTGGCCTCAGACAGCTTCTACTCTAGTGAGAGAGACAAGACTGGCTACTGACGGGGAACATTGGGACTTTGTAAATCGTGAGATAAGCACTTACGGGACTTCAGAGGAGGGAGAGAACACGTCAACTAGAAGCTTCTGGAAAGGTTTCCAGAAGTTAATTAGCCGTGCATAGGATTGGTTGGGAGGTGGGCAGGACTGAGTGGCATCTCCCCAGTCATTACAGCCTGGTACAGTCTGGGCAGCACTGAAGAGGCGGAGATGTCACCAACGGGCAGTGTGACCAAAGGGTAACAGTGATTACCTGCAGGGAGGAAGGTAAAACTGAAGGTGGGGAGGGGGTTCAAAGGAGAATGAAATGTTAAGTCTACTCTTTCCATTTTTACCAGGAAGCTGGATGCTTGCATTTATTATATAATTCAGTGTTAACTTTTTAAAAGGCTGTCTATGAGGGGAATTGTAAAAGGGGGTGGGGGGGAAGCCATTGCCAGACAGGAGGGTCTAGCCCTTCCTGCCCACTAGCTTCCCATCTGTTTAGCACCATCCTGCCTTGCACCCTCCTCGTCCCCTCCCCGCAACAAAACCAGCCACCTGGTTTTCCCCAGCAATGCAGGGAGCTTCCCCAAATCCCTTAAGAGATCAAAACCTTAGGTAATTAGTTTGTTACACCCCATGTTGTGGGGTGGCAGAATGCAGCAGGAGCTAAGGCACAAGGGTGGAACTGAGTTAGGAGAGGGGAAGTCAGAGCAAGCCGAGAGGTTGGGAACCACTAGCTCACTGAGTGGCCAATGCATGCTAAGCTGTGGTCAAGGGACTTTGCATACTTTTCCTTTTTTTTTTTTTAATTTTTATTTTTGGCTGTGCCTTGCAGCTTGCAAGATCTTAGTTCTATGACCAGGGACAGAACCCACACGCTTGCAGTAAAAGCACAGAGTCCTAACCACTGGACTGCCAGGAAATTCCCAACACTTTTCCTTTTTTTAATACAAAACTCAAACCATGTAGTAAGTATAGTTATTCCAAAAAGAAGACACCAAAGCCAGAAAGGGTAAGTAACTTGTCCAAGTTCATCCAGCTAGAAATTGGCCAAACTTGGCTTTGATCACATGCTACAATGGCTGTGAAACCGAAAACACAGAGAAATGGAGAGCACATGGAAACTGAAAACAGACACACACTGTTTTGTGTTTCTTCCACAGTCTTTGAAATTTCTTTAACATTTCTCCTACATCTCCTGGGCCTCACACCCAAGAGGAAAACTGTCACTTGATCACCTGATAAGGGAGATGAAACTGGCAACCTCCCCACCCTTCATCTTTTGCCTTTGCCAGGAAAGGTGTGGATGAACAAATGGGAAGGAGGAGGTGGGGCAAGGTGAGAGCGAAGGAAGGGGCCCAGTTTGTCAGGGCAGCACCAGGCTGTGGGCCTAACCCAATCCAGTCTCCTTTAAATGGGAACCCCGCCTCCACACCCAGCCTGCAGCCCAGGGAGCCTTCCTCCATTAATGACCATTTTGTTTCCTGGAAGCCTCACCTCTGCAGCCCTTTCTCTCCACAAGATGACAGCCCAGGACCTAGTGCATTGGAGGATTCCCTACAGAGAACACTGGAACATTCTTACTTTGAGCATTCATTTATGGAGTGCCTGCTAGGTTGAAGGCCTGAGTGAAATGGCTTCGGACCTGCCCTCGTGGAGTGGACATTATAATGAAGAGTGGGGAGAGACAGGGAATGGCTGAAGAGGCTAATGTCAGATGGTGATACGTGCCATCAAGGAAAATAAAACACGGAAATGTGCTAGAGAGTGACTGGGGAGAGAGCTGCTTTACCCGGGGGAGGGGGATTGCTCATGAAGACCTTCCCATTGTGACATTAAAGCCAAGGTTTAAGCGGCAAAGAGTCAAGTAAGCATTCCAGACACAAGGACAAAGTAGCTGGGACCTACCGCTTCCTCGCGTTGGCTCTGTGACGCGGGTCAGATCGCAGCTGCTGAATGATTATCCTTCCTCGGAGCTGCCTCCCCACCAGACTAAACGCTGAGCCCAGGAGCTGGCTCTTCTCATCCTCAGCTCTGCAGCGCCCAGCACCGTGCCGGCTACACAGTAGGCAATCAGGAAATCTTGCATGATGGAATGATTAAATGTACTCAAGGCGGTTCCCTGAGTATGAGAACCAAGCATCCAGCCTTAGCTGGGAGTTTCCTGGTCTGGGGTCCTTGGTGGTTGGCAGAGATGCCTGTAAAACCCTGCACTTCTAGGCAAGGTCTGGGCAGTACTCAACCCTCAGGCCTTTATTGGGGAAGAGGGATTTCTTGGAGGAGAAAAACAGAGGCCATGGGACAGATGACGCTGGAGAGAGAGGACCCCTCAAGGCCTGGTGGGCTGAAACCCTGGGCTGAGAGTCATCATGAGTCCTGTCCTCCCAAGTAGACTGGCTTGGAAAAGCCACTTTCCCCCGGGAGCCTCAGTTTCCTCAGCATGTAACTGGGGACTTAGATGATTCCAGGTCCCTTTCCCCAGGACAGCCCATGCTCTAGAGTAGGGGAGGGTACAGGATGGATGGAGCTCACCTAGAAAGCAGCTGAGGACATCCTTGTCTCCACAGCATCCCAACCAAGTACCTGTCTGAGCGCACAGATGAAGGGAGGAGAGGAGTCTGCACGAGCAGGGATGGGCTGGGGGAGTGGATGCCCAGGAACGGCTTTGGCCTGGGAATCACAAAGACCCGTATTTCAAATCCCAGCTTTGCTTCCTCAAGCATCAAATGGAAGAAACACAACCTACTACTCAGAATGAGTGTGAAAAGAAACAATGTGGGAAAGGGGCCTTTAGGTACCCTTTTCCCGTGCCAGGGGCCCTTTCAGAGGCAACTCACCCAAAACCACCCAGGGCCAAGGCAAGGGCTGGAAAGTGGCAGATGCTGCCCTCTGGTGGACGTGTCTGTCACTGCCTGCGTCCTGAAGAAGAGTGGAGGAGTGAAGTTGTACATGGATATCCTAGTATTGCCTCCGCTTAAACGAGCCTCTCAGAGCATGTGCCACCTGCCGAGAGCGGAGGAGAGCCATCATTCCTTCCTGTTCTTATTTCCTCCTAAAGCTTGTGAGCAGCACTGAGCAGAGGACTCATGTTGATGTTTAATAAGAGTGTTCACATTCCAGACCAGGAGGAAGTTCCCTCAGATTCACCTCCTACTTAGTACCAGAGAAGGCAGGAAAGCCCAGCCCGCTGTGCATCTTTGTAACTTTTTCTTAGACACACACTGCTTTGCGTAGGCTTAGAATATGGCCATGACTATGGCTTCAGCAGCCCTTCCCTCTGGTTTGTCCCTGTCCTCTGGGTTTCATAATTATAGCTCATGACCTACAAGGCTTGGTGGGGTAAGGGTAGCACAGGGGCTGCTTTTAGCTTATACCTTAAACTTGGTTACTTTCATCCTTTAGTGAAATTTGCCCCACCCGAAGAGGGACCACTTGGAGACGAGAGGGAAGAGATTGTCCGTATTGTTGAAGAAGAAGCTGTCATGGAGGAGGAGGAGGAGGAGCTCAGAGATGAAGTTCAGAGTCAGTCCTCTGCTTCTTCGGAGGATTACATCATCATCCTGCCTGAGTGCTTTGACACCAGCCGCCCCCTGGGGGACTCCATGTACAGCTCTGCCCTCTCACAGCCAGGCCTGGAGCGAGGGGCTGAAGGCGAGCCTGGGGTTGAGGCTGGGCAGGAACCTGTCGAGGCTGGGGAGAGACCCCCTGGAGGGGAGAACCAGCCACAGGGGCACAGCATCAATGATATCCTTATGACCTCACAGACTCTGGACACAGTGCCCCTGACCCCAGAGGTGGTAGGGCCTTCGCCACGGCTGCCCAGGTACCATCCACACCCCGCTCTGCTGGGCTGTTCTCCAGAGGTGGAATAAAGAGAGAGGACTCAGCCTGATCTCAAAACCTGTCTCTTTGTCAGCAAGGGAAGAGTCTATTTCCCATAGTAAAGTCTGATGAATAAAAGTTGTACTTCCCAGTATTTGTGTATTCTGGATTTAAAGAAATACTTGTTTCAGTTAACCTTAATTATCTGAGTATAATCTCTCTACTTACGTTTTGATCATTGAGAGCCAGTTTTTAAACACAAACATCCCTGGACCTTCCTCCCTGTTCCGTTGACTCGTGGGCAAAGGCAGCAAAAACTCTTTCTCATACTAATCCAAGCAAAGTAGAATAAGAAGTTTAATCTGTTATGGAAACAAACATACTACAAAACCCAGATAGAAGTTACTGTTTTTCTCTGCTGGTTCTGTCTGTATCACTGCTCTCTCACAGTACGGAAAATGGTGGAGCCTTGACTATAATTTAAAGCATTCTCCCAGGGAGCTAGATATTTTCTTTTATCAGCACCACTTGATACAGGGGGAAGTGACCAGACTGAAGCCAGTCTTTCTAGCTTGACTGTGGCTGAAGAGGAAAACCAGAAGAAGAATGAGCCCTTCTCACCTGATCCCTAAATTCAGACATGTGATCTGGATCAGAAATGTGAAGCCTCTGTAGAGAATTTGGCACTGCTGTGCTCTGTTTACTGTTTCTCCACCGTTACCGTAGGCGCCTTTTCAACTTACTTTCAATATTGTGTCTTTCTGAAAGGAGTCCTCCGTATGCACAGCATCATGGTTCCCCAGGAGTGGATTTACCAGTTACCGTACCAGAAGTTTTTTCAGTCCCTGATCAGAGCAGAGGAGGTAATGACCAGCCTGAGCTTTCTCTTTTTCTGTGCTCCTTTCTAATGGAACCAGGTATAAATAGGCACTCTATCTTTGTGATTCTTGGCAGTTTTTAGAAACTTGCCCTTTGACTTTTTCTGTGCTCCTGCCTCATACTCTTTTGTTCTATCTTCTAGCTTAATATTTATTAAACGAGATCCCGTAGAGGTTGGCATTGTGCTGTAGTGGAAAGAACACAGGCTTTGGGGCCAGACTAGTCTAGGCTCCAGCCTCAGCTCCACCTTTCTTCACCGTGTGACCTTGCAATGGTTCAGCAGGGTTCTAAGACCTGAAGGTCTGTTTCCTTATCTACAAAATAAAGAGACTAGCGCTTTGGAGTTGTGAGTAGACCCTCAAAGTCGCTTTCCTCTCGTCCTCAAGAAACAAAACCTGAAAGTACTTCCGAACTAATAAACTATTGTGATAGGATTATAGAATTAATTTTTCTGATTCACTAAACAGTCACCTTGCGTTGCATTCTGGACAGTTTTCTTTAACATTTACTTAAACCACCTGCAAAATTTCTCAGATATTTAAAAAGAAAGAAAAAGAGACTTTAATCGTTGCAATCAGATTGCCACCTGCCTCGAAAATAGCCTTGCTGTGATTAGGAAACACCAGGGGTTTACGGACGCTGCATCTAACCAACAGCTCTTTTGCTTTTAGAGCTCAGAGGCTCATCAGGACTTGTAAACAGCAGACAGAAGAGCTCTGACCACTCAAGGTAACGGGGGCTTCCTTGTGCAGCCCCTCCTTCAGAAGCAGAGGGATATGCTAGTAGTGCCTCCGCTGAAACAAGCCTCTCAGAGCATGTGCCACCTGCCGAGAGCGGAGGAGAGCCATCATTCCTTCCTGTTCTTATTTCCTCCTAAAGCTTGTGCGAGCAGCACTGAGCAGAGGGCTCATGTTGATGTTTAATAAGCGTGTTCACATTCCAGACCGGGAGGAAGTTCCCTCAGATTCACCTCCTGCTTAGTACCAGAGAAGAAGGCAGGAAGGCCCAGCCCGCGGTGCCTCCTTGTAACTTTTTCGTAGGCGCACCTGCCTCTCTGCTCCCAGTCGTCTCAGAGCAGTGTCACGGTGGGCTCCTCCCTACGTAGAGCGTCCAGAAAATCACATTTCCTTTGGGAGGTGTTTCCTCTGGGGTGATCACTGAGCGTGCAGACTGCCAGTTCCTCAGTGCGCTGCTGAGCACGTTAGTTTCCAGTCGGGGCTGAACGCTGGCACGCTACCCAGAGTGAGGTGCTTTCTGCAGTGCCCTGCCCATGTCTTGCAGCAAGCGGTAAGAGCTGGGCCCTACATCAAGCCCAGATCGGTAGCTATAAAACTGATGGGAAAAGAGTCCCACTCTCCTTTTACGCCTGACGTTTTTCTCGGGGAAATCTCATTTTCTTCCCAGGATTAGAGCCCAGGTTATCCGTAGGAAGATAACGATTCACGTTTCCTTAGGGAGACAATTTGGCTTTCCCCGCAGGCACCACCACGGGAGCAGCATTGCTGGAGGGCTGGTGAAGGGGGCTTTGTCTGTTGCCGCCTCTGCATACAAGGCCTTGTTTGCTGGACCACCAGTCACTGCACAGGTCAGTGTATGTTTTATTTTCCTGAACCGAATCCAAGTCACCAGTGAAAACAGTGGCGTCTGCCCGGGTTGGAGAGAGTAGCATGGCATCGTAGCGAGCATGAGCTTTAAGTTTAGTCTTTAACACGCAGCTCTGCCACTTTCCAGCTGTATGACTATGGCTAAGTCACTCGAGGGAGGAAAGAAGAAAGACCGAACGTTGGTTGCGGACTTGCTGTGTGGGGGTCACTCTCCCAGGTGCCAGCACTACGAGGCGGATCAGACACCAGTTCCTGCCCAGAGGCAGTGGGAAATAAGCAAACGGACATTCACCTGTGAAACTTCTGAAAATTGCAAAGCACTGTAGAATTTAAAGAATCTTCCCATTCAATTAAGAAGAAAAAACAAAAAGTTTATTGCACAGTGTAAGATACTGTGCCAGTGTTCTCAGACCGGTGGAACACCTCAGCCTGGTGTCGGCCCCACGGCGGGGCCAGGGAAGGCGTCCTGGCAGATGACGCCCGAGCTCAGTCCTAAAGGACAGAATGGGTGTGTGCCAGGAGAGAGGGTTAGAGAGGGCACTGTAGACGGAGTAGCCAGTACAGAGACTTGGAGATGTGAACCTGGAGGGTGAATTTGCGCCAAGAAGAGAAAAGACCAGTGATGTAGGTGGGATGCTGTGTTAAGTGATTTTGCCTTTTATTTTTAAGACCCGTGGGAGGGACCTCCCTGGTGGTCCAGTGGTTAAGACTTGCGCTGGCCATACTTTCTTCCAATTTCCCATACTTTCTCCCAATTACCATCTCCTCTCTTGCTCCTTCTTGCCCCATCGTCATGATTACCTTTAACTTCACAGGGTTTCCAGAGTTCGTTAGCATCTTTTCCTTCACCTAGTTCTAAAGACAGTTCGCTAGTCACCTGGCTCAGGGTGCAGACGTACCTAATCCAAAGCAGGGCCTTCCCAGTCCTGCCTTATCCCCTCAGAAGACCCATTAGTATTGGGTGGACAGGAGTGCCGTAGCCTGGCACCTGATTACCTAGTATTTTGAATAAATCTGGAAGATGAGTATGCCTTAGCAAGATAAACACAACTTATACAAAAAACGTTGTTCCGCTTTTCTTGACTCTACACAGCCAATAGCTTCCGAAGATCAGACAGCAGCCCTGATGTCCCATCTCTTTGAAATGGGATTCTGTGACAGGCAGCTAAACCTAAGGCTGCTGAAGAAACACAATTACAACATCCTGCAGGTTGTGACAGAGCTCCTTCAGATCAACAACGACGACTGGTACAGCCGCCGCTACTGAGGAGTGACCTCGTATTCAATAACTTTGCCTGCTGCTCGGAGACGATCTTTATTCTGTCTTGGGGGTGTGGGGTGGAGGCCCGTGCTTATTTTTGAATCTGATGAATCTACATAGAGCCCATCACTGAACTGTCAAGACAATACCTGCCTTGCGGCATTTTTTGGAGCAAATGAAAGGCCGCAACTTAAACCTTCACTTTAGACGTTAGATGAATTGTAGGAAGAGCGTTTTTCACTTGATCTGGGTAAAACTCTTCTCCGTTTTAGTGCACTGACAAGTGCAACTTAAACTTCCTATAGAACCCTTTTTCTTCCTGCTTGTACTGAAGTTGAGTATTTTTCTTTGCTTAATTGTGGATGTTTTTAATGAGGATATCTGTTAATTGTCAGCTTATAAAAGAAATTAACCTCGCAAGTTGTTTTCAAGAATTACTCTCATAATTTTTCTAACCTATCCCAAGCTTCAGAGCTGTGTGGTATTAAAATAACACCCAGGGCGCGCACGATAGGAGTTTTGTTCCTCTTCCCTTCTCAAGGAGAAAGTCGTTCCCCTGCAAGTCTTAGTAACGGGCACTGCTGTTTTTCAAAAGACCCCCAGTGATGCGTTTAGAGTACATCCACCTTCCGGTCTCTGCACTTCTGAGAAAGGAGCGGGGAGTGTGCGCATTAACCCAGCAGCACCTGTTGAGCAGTGTCTGTTGTAGCAATTTTGCATACATTTTATTTTATTTAAGGGAAAAAATGTAGGTAGTGTGAAATATTTTGCTAATGCTACGAAGAAGGAAAGAAACTCTTCTATTAAAGGGAAAAGTAAGTTTAACAGTTACCCTTTTTCTTTATGTCGGGGGGGGGCAGGTCTTCTTTACAGTAGAGTGGGCGGGGGTGTATAGGAACATGAGAAAAGTGAAAGGCAGGCTCCTGTGTGAATCATGTCAGTGAAGTTCAGGGGTGGGCAAATGAGTGGGTGTGAGGCTTAGGACATCCTGATGGCCTCCTGAATGTTTGCAATCTGTTCAGGAGAACCTAGAACAAGAGAAAGAGGCTGGTGTTTTGCAAGACTTGGATGGGAGCAAACTCACTGAAAAAGTTTTGGTTTAACCCCAGGGTACGCGAGCGGGAAGGAGCTTGCTTTACAGGGGTCCTGGTCCTCGCTCTGTTTTACCAGAAGGGAGTCTTGGGTACAGCTGGTAAAGAGGTGTGACAAAAAACACTACAGATTATAGTCATAAAAATTACTTGCAGAAAAAGAAGAATCTGACCCCCAGCCTGAAGGGGGAAGGATAGCAAAATAGTATTACTTAACCTGGTTTGGCATTATAATGAATGGTGATTTAAATTAATCATTGGCCATAATGATGTTTATTTACAGTATAGCTCTTGAATGCTGTTAAATAAGCCAGGATTCAGACTGCAAGCCAACCAGCCTGTTTATTATTTAAAACGTTTTTATGGGGGTTGGGGGTGGGGGGTGGGCTTCTGGGTAGAGGCTGAGCGGCAGGGTGTGTGTAATTAATTCGGTTGATTTGGGACGGGATCTTGTCTTGACCATGTGAGTTGTATTGTAGGGGTCCAGGAGGGCCCTGGGGTCCAGTCGTCTGTCCCATTGTACTTGTACCTAACCGCTTCAAGAATGGTGAAATAAACTTTGAAACTCCTACTTGGACTGGGCGGTCCTTTCGTCGGGAACCTCGCGTGGCCTTTGAAGAACCGAGAAGTTTTCTGGCCGCTGTGTCGAGAGAGGCTGGCCCTGGGAGGGAGGGGCGGGTCCGGAGGAGCCGGGGCGGAGCTTCCCAAGGCTTTGAGCCGAAGCTTGGGGCGAAAACCCCGGCTCCCGCGCTTTCGATTCTGCTTTGCAGGCGCTTCTGTCGCTGCGGTCGCCCGGGGGTAAGGCGATTCCTTAGAATCGATTCCTTAGAAAGAAGGGACCCTCCTTGCCTTCTTTCCCTTTGGCATGCAAGGGCCCAGGCCCCTTCTGTGCCTCCTCCTAGCCCAACACGCAGGTTCCAAGCTCTGCTAACGGCCTCTCGGGGTGTGTGGGGGGACTGAAAATCCTCCTTCATTGAATTCCTAGCCTCTCAGTCCGCTCCGACCCCGCAGCCCATGGCCGAGCCCCAGAGTAGGGCGTGAAGGCTCTGGGGAGGCCAGGGTCGCCGCTCCCCACCTCCTGCAACGCGGTGCAGTCGGTCCCCAGGACTCTCCGGGAAGGGGACAGGTGGCCCCCTGGAGCCACCCTGCCTTACAGGCCCTCCCCCCCAAAGACGCACTCCAGAAATCTCTAGCCCTCCTGCAGCTGAGAGGAGCCCGGGAATCTCAGGCCTAAACCAGGTGAGGCTCCCTTTATTTTAAACCTCAGACCTAAACCAGGTGAGGCCTCCTTTATTTTAAGCCCACAAGGTCTTGAGTTGGGCTCACCTTGCCCACTCATTTGCCACCAGTCTTTTGGGAAGGATCTGGAGTTAGCTGTGCCTCGTCCTAGTGAAGGACTGACCCTGAAATTGCTACCACCCTCGCCCAGACATTCTTTCCCACCCCAGCTCAGAAAGCAAGCGGAAGAGGTTTATGCTCCCTTCCACAATCATTTTAGGGTTCTTAGCCCCACCTGTGGCCAGCCTAGCCGCCTTTTTCTTTTCTTGTCCCAAAGAATCCCTGCCTTCCTATTACGCCAGCACCTGTCCAGGCTCAGGAATGGAAACTTTCCTTCCACACCCAGGCTGGAGACCTCGGGCATTTCTGCCCGGGTGCTCTTAGAGACACGTTCAGAGTCGTCTTGTCGCAGAGGATGAAGGGGCTCCCCTGGCTGCTGCCCGCAAGACCTATCTAACTTCCTTCCCTTGCAGTGAATGACAGCTCAGCAGCTTTTCCAGAACAAAATTAAGCGCTCTGCCTTTCACTTAACGAAAGTCCCTTAAAGTGAAATAACTTCTGCTTTGCTTTTCCCTCTTGTAGGCCGATTGAGCTCTCCCTACAATAAAAACAAAAACAAAGAGTTGCAATGCATTGAGATTCCTGATCCAAGAGTCGTGTGTAACTGCTCGAATTCCCACACCCTCACTTGCTTAGGCTTGAGCTTGCTGAAAGTGTGGTGGGTCTCCTCGCCAATCTCAAGAGCCTAAGACCAGAGGGACACCCGGCGTCAGTGCTGACTGGACTTTGTTCTTCTCTCATCAGTGAAAAATACCCCTGAACAATGGGTGAGACACTCTCCCAGCTGGGCTCTCGGGAGGATGAGAACAAGTCGATGCTGCCCTCCGGCCCAGCCTTTGGCAGCAAGGCTGCCAGCTACTCCAGCACCACCAGCAGCAAGCCTTCTTGTTCCTGTGCGCCTTGTGAAAGGGCTGCTGGTGGCAGCTTTGTGACTTGTCCCACCTGCCAGGGCAGTGGGGAGATCCCTCGAGGTGAGTGGCCCCAGGCTCTGGAAGTAGCCCGGGATCCAGGAAAAGCTCTTAGCAGCCGGCTGGCCAGTGCCAGGCCCCTCTGAGTCCCCTTGGATGGGGTTGGGTCTCCCAGCTCCTAGTCCCTGAGTTTCAGGGCTAGCCAGGGAGATGCTAACCCTCCCTGGGCTCGCTGCAGAGACCCCCTCCTGCCCTGGTTGTACCGCCCGAACCCAGGGGATTCCCAGCCTCTCTGCTCTCTTAGCAGCACTGCCTTCGGATGCAGGAAGTTACAGTGACGTCTCCAAAGAGATTGGGCTTCTCGGATTTGTGGTGACGTGCAGGAATTCTTCACACCTGTTAATGAAACTCTCGCCTCCGTTCTAGAGATGGCAAAGCCGAGCTGCCAACAGCCCGGTATCCCCAGTCAGTCCTGCTCTGAGGCAGAGGTGGCGTGCTTCTGACACTGCTCTGTGGGACGGAGGGGTGCTGCCGGCAGGCTGGCACAGGAAACATTTGTCATGGACACTTCTCGGCCCTCCCTCTCACCCTCTTTCTACAGAACTAGAGAAGCAGCTGGTGGCCCTCATCCCCTATGGGGACCAGAGGCTGAAGCCCAGGCACACGTAAGCCCCTCTTCCCATCCCAGCTCTGTAGGCATTGCCCCTGGGGGCTCTTCCTCTTTGTCTCCCCCAATCCCCCTTCCCACCCCCACCCCAGTTTTTCTCCATTGGTTCTCCCCCAGAGAGCCTGAGCCTCACTGGCCTCAGACGTATTAGCTCCCTGTTTCCAAGGATTTTCCTAGCTTAAGAAGCTCGGGGCACAGCAGATGCCACCTGAGGCCTCTTGGTGTCCTGAGCACCACTGCCTCCAAGAAGCGTGGCTCCCTTTTGAAGACCGAGAGGACCTCTTGACTCTGCAAGTCCTTCCAGGAGGGAGGGAGTGGCTGTGGTTGCATTTGGTTTGGGGAAGTGATTTTTCCTAAGAACTTCCTTTGCTACGGCAGCTCAGACCTGCTTGTTCTTTTCCCCGTAGAGATGGGAAACCAGCTGCTCTCTGTTCTGGGACACTTCAGAACCTCAGCGGAGGCAGCCCTGAGTTTCGCGGGGGGGCCCACGACCCTATTTGTCATCTGGGTCCTTTGACATAGATCCCTGCAACCTCCTCCCAGGGTCCTCAGCTTCCGTGGGGGAGCCCACCACCCAGCTTGCCCCCGCCAGTGCGCCAGAAGCCGAATGTGGCAGTGCCCCTTAGGGAGCGCTGACAAGGTGCTCTCTCTTTAATGCACATCTCAATTTTGAATTAGAGGGACAGATGACGTCTTGTTCTGAATATGAATATGAAAATTCAGAGCTGTCAAAATTCACATGGGCTTACTTCTTCCAGTGAGAATAGCTAGCGTTGGTTGAGCCTTTGGCTGTGTGTCAGGGCCAGGGATTGGTGCCTTTTCATGCATTAGCCCATAACGGATGGTATGAGGTAGGTACCATTATCCCCATCTTATAGACAAGGAAACGGAGGCTTAGGGCGGTTAAGCGGGTTGTTCAGAGTTGCTGGGCCAGTGGGTAACACAGAGCTGGGAATGGAAGCCGGGCTGCCAGCCTCTCAGTCCGGCGCTCCTACCCGCTCTGGGCCACCTCTGAGCCTAGGTTGGTCCTCCGCATCTGGGGAGCTAAGTGCGCGGTTGTGTGTGTGTGTTGGGGTGGGGGCTCGGAGGAGAGCCTTACGTAGAGAGAAGAGTGTCTGAACGCCCCCGGCCCAGGCTGCCCTGGTGTCCAGACTTCTCCACTCCTCTACCCCGGGTCCTGTTCTCCCACAGGAAGCTCTCCGTGTTCCTGGCAGTGTTCATCTGCCTGGTGACCTCCTCCCTCATCGTCTTTTTCCTGTTTCCCCGGACTATCGCCGTGCAGCCTGTAGGCCTCAACTCCTCCACGGTGACTGTTGGCGAGGCCGACGTCCACCTCAATATAACGGTGGGTGGGTGCCTGTGCCCCTGGGCTCCGGCCCCACCTTCCTGGCAGCACTCCTCTGTAGCCCTTGTCCGGTGTGCTCACCCCGGGCATCGGTAGCCGGGGATCTTATGGCAGCCAGAGGATGTCAGGAGCCTGGGGCGAAGCAGGAGCAACCACGAGCCCCTAACAGACGGTGCAGGGTTGGAACAGTGAGGGGTTAGAATTGACGCCAGAGCCGTAGATCACTGGGTGCAGTCGGGGTGGTGTGCCTGAGACTCCCTGGGTGGGCAGGACTGAACAGAGAGAGCCTTGCAGGGTGAGACTGGATTCTGAGCCAGCTTAATGTCTTAGCTGAAGGCGACCCCTCGCCGCTAAGAGCCCCTCCGAGGGGCTCCTGGCACTGGGGGGGCCTCGGCAGCTGAGGCCCACGTTGGGGGTGGGGCTCAATCAGGCTGCGGGGTTTTGAAACTGTTTGACTTCTTCTTGCCAAGGATGGTGCTACCCTAACCCCTTCCTTTCCCTGTCTTCCTCGCCAGAATATCTTGAGCATCTCCAATAACAACTACTACCCCATCGCTGTGACCCAGCTGACCATTGAGGTTCTGCACCTGTCCCTCGTGGTGGGGCAGGTCTCGGACAGCCTTCTCCTCCACATCGGCCCTTTGGCCAGTGAGCAGGTGACTCCCTCTTGCTGGCCAGACCTGCCCCCAGGTGTGTGGACGCGGGTGGCTGGAGTTGGGGCTAACCCTATACCCACTTGGTTGACAGGTGTTGTATACAGTAGCCAACAGGATATGGGATGGAAACACATAGTGAGTAGCGCTCGATCCCTTCTCCCTTAGCCTCTTTGCTGGTTGGAAACCCAATTTGAATTCCCACCAGATGTTCTGATTGCTTAGCAGACCCTGCAGTCAGCATGCGGCCTGCACTCTTGTGGCCAAGACTGCAGTGTACAAGCATTCAGGGTCCCCAGCCTCTGCCTGTTTGGACCTGGACTGGAATGAAAACCAGCCTAGAATCCGGTTCATACTTAACGACATATGACCTTGGGCTCTTCAGCCTGACTCACCGTTTTCTACTAAGGGAGAGGCCAGCCCGTGCCTGGGCCAAACCAGTGGGGTTTGGAGGAGCGATATTGCAGCAGGGGCGACATGCTCACCTTGGGCAGAGGGAGGGGGAAGGGGTGGGGGTGGCATGTGGGGCCCCTGATGGAAAGGAGGCAAGGGGGGCTGGGACGGCAGGTCTCCTCCGAGCTGTCTGACGGGCTGCTCAGTGTGTGAAACGTGGGCCCAGGTTCTCTGTCTCTCTCTTTCTGTCTCTCTCAGCAAGATCTGTACCTGGCTGAAAATCAAAGTCCACCATGTGCTTCTGCACATCCAGTAAGTAGGGCTTGGAGCCCTGGTACCCTCTCCCACTTCTGCTCCCCGTGGGGGGACAGTCATCACAGCGAATCCCGTGAGTCTGTGTCGGCTCTTGGCAGTAGCAGGTCCAGCCCCTCCCCTAAGGCCCACCTTATGAGCCACTGACGTGACAGCCACAGATCTGCCCGGAACCGGGGGGGCGGGGGTGGGGTGGGGGTGGGATGGTGGGAGGGTCGGGGGTGGGCAGCTGTCCCAGGTGCTTCGGCAGAGTGGGGAGCCGAAGGAGGGGCCGGGTCTGGTCTGAGGAAGCCAGCCCTCCCCAGAGAGCAGAGCAGGGCCAGGGCTTTCCTCTTCTTCCCAGACCCCTGTGGTGTGGAGGAGTAAAGACAGTGAAGCGCAGACCTAGGGTGGCGGGAGCTCTCCAGCCGCCATCTTACTCCTTTCCTCTGCCGCCACCAGGTCTCTCCCCTCGCCTCCCTACTTCCTTCTCTCACTCCTACCCCAACTGCATATCCTTAGATCGGTGGACGTGGAAGCTGGGTAGGGTCAAGGCTCAAGTTCTGTAGTCTTCAAAATAAAACTGGTGTGGTTTTTTTTGGAAAAAAAAAAGCCCTGTTTCCTCTCCAGGGGCACCCTGACCTGTTCCTACCTGAGCCATTCAGAGCAGCTGGTCTTCCAGAGCTACGAATATGTGGACTGCCGGGGAAACGCATCCAAGCCCCACTTGCTGGTCCCTCGCCCGCCGTGACCTGTCTGCTGTCGTCGAGCCCCGGGCACCTGCCGGCCTGGTCTGTACCTCCCACCACTCCATGGCACCCAATAGGACGAGAGTGACTCTGCCAAAGGAAAAGCCCTGCTTTCTCATACCCTCCCCCTGTTCACCCCCAGCAGAGGAAGCTTTCTGTGGACGTTAACTTCATACGCACGCGCGCGCGCGCGCACACACACACACACACACACCCTCACACCCTCTCTGATTTCCACAGGAGCGGAAGCTTGGTTCTTCTAGAAGCCAGCACCAGCTATTCCCCTTGGTCTGTCTTGAGGAAAGTCTGACCTGACATTTCCTCAGAGCTGCCTCAGAGGCATGGAGTGGCACCCACACTGTCTGTGCTGAGCACCTTGGTTGCCCAGCTCGTCCAGGGAAGACCTTTGTCCTGCCTGAATGTGGAGAAAGCTTTCATTTTGTCTGGCTTTTAATACATGGATCCTTTCCAAGTTCTCCACCTGGTAATGAGAAGGTGACTTGGGGACAGCCAGTGTTGTCCCCAGGGCCTCTTAGGGAACCGTAGATGCTCTCCTATGCCGCCCTGCTTTGGTCGTGTGACAGGGTGATGGTGATGGCCTGCTTCGAGAACGCCTGGTACCTTGTCTCCCCACCCCACCCATCTGACAGCAAGATTGGCCAAGGCCCTTAGGCTCCACAGCCTTCCTGGTTAAAGACTGTCTGGGTCCCCAGGAACTCAGAGCTGTTCTGCAGCTAAAGCTTCTCCTCTCCCGAAAAGAGTTTTAGGGAAGGGAAGGGAAGGGAAGGGAGGCACCTGCACCGGGCACCCCCTGGGCCTGCACAGGAAAAACAGAGACAAAGCCAGAGTCATTTTAAAAGGTTTTTATTGAAGGAGGCCACAAGCCTGAGCGCACGTGAGGGGACACAGGCAGGTCAAACGGTGGGTGCAGCCGCTCTCCCGCTGAAAACCTGCAGAGGTGAGGCCGGACTGCTGGGTCCCGCTGCACCCCCAGCCTAGTCCCAGGGCGCCCTCTGCTCCCAGAGGCCTCTGCTCTCCTTTGGGCGCTGACAGTATGGAGCTGCCTATCAGTCGGGACTGGTCCAGGCCGTCCCCTCTTTGCTGTCACTCAGGTGACGAGAAGCCCCAGGCAAACCCCAGGTTCTTTAGGCGAGCAGGAATTGTGTTTGCTCACGAAAGGCGGTCACGGGTTTCCATCAGTCAGACAGGCAGAGAGGTGAGCTTGAGCGGCAGGGAAAGCTGAGTTTGCAGTCGGAAGGGCGGAGAAGGGCACGTGGGGCCAGAACCTGGTGAGGAGCCGGCCGGGGGGATGAGGGGAAGGAAGGAGTTCGTGCTGTCCGCACGCTTTCACGCCTGGGTAACTGGCGTCGAGGTGGTGCTGGTAAGAGCACGGAAGTCCACGAGGGCCAGGCTGGAGCTCACGCTGGGTGGAGCTCGTCAGATGTAATGGATTTATGTTGGAGTCAATCAGCTGTGCTTAACCGTGTTTAAGGAAGGAAAATAAAAGGCTCCTGTGAGTGGGAAGGGAGCCGGTGGACGCTCCCCATCTCACACAGCCTGTTCCTTAATATCCAAGTGGGCATCAAGGTCTCTTCCCCAGTCCCTGAGCCCCTCGGGAACACGCCCGGCCTCTCTGCCTTCCGGGAGACCGCTCCCAGGAGCTCGCTCGCTCCCCTTCCCTCGTTGTGTGTCTCTGAGCCCCTCCCAACTTCAATGCTCCCGTTCCGTGCGCCCCCGCTCCTTCGCTTCCCCCAACTGCTCCTCTCAGGAAACACTGCACTGAGAGGCTCCTTCAGTCTCACCCAAAGGTGAGACGCTACGGTGAAAGGACCCAGGCATCCCCCTCACCAGTCAAGAGTGGAAGAGGGAGCAGGGCTGGGGGACCCCAGGTGTCAGTTTCAGGAAGAGGTGAGGCAGATGCCTGGGGCCTCCAGAGCCTCTGGGTTGTCTCTGCTACATGGAAAGGCTGAGACTCAGGGAGGAAGAGGCCTGTGGATTGGGTGGGGGGGGGGCCAGTCCCCCTCTTCCCAAGGTCAGGCGTCCTGTGCCTGAGGCTACAGTCCTCCTTTCCTCCGAGTTCTTTCTCTCCATCCCTTCCAACCACCCTCCGTTCAACAGCGGAGTGCCCACCGTGGACCAGGCACGACACTGCGCTTGGGGGAGGCCCCTGCGTGCCACTTCTTCCTGATGCTGCCCCAGGTCCCAGGTCTGCTCTGGTGTGATGCAACCCACGCTTCCCCAGGTGCATCTCAATAAGCATCGGCCAGGAGGAAGGGCTGGTGGCTCCAGTGAGAGTCCGTGATATCACTGCTAGATAAGGGCCAGTAGTGGAGCTGTAGACCTGGGGGGCCCAAGGCCAAGTTCTCCCGTTGGCTTTGCCTGGGGAAGCATGGAATTGCCCTCCACTGTCTTCTCACACCCTCTCCATCCTCTTCGTGGGTCTTCCTGGGCCCTCCCCCTCATCTCTGTCTCACGGAGCCCAGCCAGTCTCTCGATTCTTTGCAGGAAGAAATCACACGTGATTCCCAGCTAGCCTCCCCTGCCAGAGTGGATCAGGAGGGCTTGGCTTTTGAAGTGGAGATGCTGCTGGGAGGTAGGAAGACGGGGCTGCTCATCTGATGTTTGCTGATGGCCGGCCAGTGGGGTCTCGGGGGTCTGTCTCTGAATCACCACTGCTGGATGTAGTTCGTTGACTGAGAAGAGGGAGAGACAGGAGGCAGAACAGGTTAGTTAGCAGCTCCTGGGCCTGCTGGTTTGAGAACATTGTCTTCAGCCCTCTGAAGCCCGAGTAATCAAAGTGAGATGATGTAGCAGCCCAGTCCTCGTCTTAAAGGGCCGGGATCAGGTTCTCCCATCCTTTGCGCCTGAGTCAGAGAAAAAAAAAAAGCTTCTTTCCGAAGCGTATCCTGTTTCACGTAATTCTCAAGACTCTCAAAAAAGCGTCTTCCTGGGTTTGACGGTCTACAACGAGCCAGGCTGTAAGCTAAGCGCTTTGGATGCTTTCCCTTTTAATTCAGTCCTCGTGACACCTCTGTTGAGGAGGTGGGGTATTATCAGTCTCATTTTATGGGTGGGGCAGCTGAGGCTCAGAGATCTGAGTCGTGCTACCGGAGAGTGGTGATCCTGACGGAGACCACAAGCCCTGACTTCACGTCTTACCGTCCTCCCGCTCCAGCTGGCTCTACCCCATCAGCGTTTCAAACGGCCCCCTTGATTTTGCTTCTCTGGCACCCGTCCTATCTTTCCAACTAGAGCGTCAGCTCCTTCACTTATACTGAGCGCTGAGCAACAGGGCCTACAGAGACATTTTTATGGGGGCATGGAGTGGATGGAGGAACGGGCCATCCAGAAGCGACGGAATAACTTCAGTCCCCTCTCCCGATTCCCGCCGAGGAAGCCTTTCTAGACTCCACCCGCACTAACACGCGAGCGCGGGCACACACGCAGCCAAACTGTAGCTGCCTCTCACACTCCGAGTCCGTCTCACCGTGAATCGTGGGTACTTGGTGTGTGTATCTGGGCTAGATTTCCCGACACCTGATGATGAAACGAAGCACACGTTACTCAGCTGGCAGTTCCTGAGGATGGCACATGCCACGGCCGGACTCTTTACCACGTGTCTGGGGGGCAGGCCAAGGCCCCTAGCTGGGGCAAGGCTAAGTCCCAGCCCCCGCTGAGCATTCTCCACTAGGAAGCCGACCGGTGCTTCCCCGGTCCAGACCCCCCAGGGCTCAGGATACCCCGTTGCTAAGCCTACACCTCCTACCCCACCCTCTGGCCGCCCCGACCCGACCCCGACCCCGACCCCGTCTGTCACCCTCACCCTGGAGAAGGGACTGACCACTTCTGAGCCACCCTCTGCGGAAGTCAGCGGGTTTCTCTGCAGCTCTCGCTTGGTGCAAATCCACTCAGAGAGTGTGACCGCCCCCCCCCCCGCCCCCAAGTAAAGGTGAAGGGTGCCAGGGAGGGTCAAAGGGTGGGGTGACAGATGTGGCTTCTGGACTATAGCCCGGGGCTCTCTCCTCACCATCTCCCGCTCCCGGGCATGTCACTCACCTGCACCTTGAGGGTTCATCACCCCTCCTTGGAATCTGTCCTTGTGGGCGCCTGGCCTTTGGGAATCCTGGAGAATGTACCGGGAGGTGCGCTCAGTAAGAGGGTCTTGGGCATTTTGTGGCTTTGGCTGAGGCGGCGGCGGCGGCGGCGGCGGCGGCCGCTCGGGCACCTGCGGAGGCTGCGGCTGCGGCTGCGCGTGTGGCGACCGTGATGGCGCCGGCGGTGGCTGCGACTGTGATGGCGCCGGCGGTGGCTGCGACTCCCGAGATGGCTGGGTTCTTTTTTCAGATTGCCGTTCCTCTTCTTGGAGTTTCTTCAGTTCCTGTCAAGAAGCCCCCCCCCCCCTCGAGTTCTCTCTCTTCCTCCCCTGCGCCCCCCCCCCCCCCCCGCAAGTGGCATCCTCCTCCCTCCCCACCCAGTCACCGCCCCCTGCCGGAGACACTGAGGGGAGCAAGGCAAGGGAATCCAGAGGTGGAGGCGGCTGGAGGGTCTCTGTTCCCTGGAGTTGGAGGCTGAGGCTGGGGCCTGAGCTCTCTCCCCTCACCCACCCACACCCAAGGACTGTTTCTATAGCAACAGTGCCCCTCCCCCCGCACAGCCCCCTGCCCAGGAAACAGCCGCCTCTGTCCACCTACCTCCGCGCACTGAAAATCGTTTGCAGTGCCAGAGGGTAAAGAATAATCTCTTGCACATGCTCTGAAACAGCACTGCCCAATGGAAGTATAACGAGGGCCATGTATCATTTAAAATGCTCTGTTAGCCACGTAACAGAGTAAGAAGAAATAGGTGAAACTGGGTATAATGATAAATTTTATTCAACCCAATACAGCCAAAACGTAAAACCAATATGAGAATATTAATGAGGTAGTTTATAGTCTTTGTTTTTGTATTAAGTCTTCAAAACCCAGAGGGCATTTTATACTCAGCAGCACATCTTAATTTAGACACTACATTTTGATTTAAAATATTTGATCTATATTTAGAGTTCAGATAATTTACGGTCGAAAAAGCAGATTCACGTATCCACGTTGTTCCAAACATACTTAAAAATGTTCCAGTAGGTAAAATGAACATTTGCCTTAAAGAGTATATTTAAATAGATTAAATGTATGTAACATTTAAAATGCAGTTCCTCGGTCTCACTAGCCACGTCTCAAGGGCTATAGCACACAGGCTGGTGGCCGCCCTACTGGACAGCGCAGCTTTAAAACCTCCGGAGCCTGACGCTTCAATCCCACGTGAGGCCTCAGCCTAGTACAACAGCAAAGCTGAGTCACCCCAATGCGCGCGCGCGCGCGCGCGCGCACACACACACACACACACACACACACACACACACGCACGGTCCATCCAAGACATCCAAGGACCTTGCTTTCCTACAGTCCATCCAAGACATCCAAGGACCTTGCTTTCCTCCAGCCCAAGCAAAACAATATTCCCCAGGTGATGGACAGTTAGTTTCCTTGGGGTCCGTCGTCTCCCCTCCCCATCCCCTCCGTGCCCCCGGAAGGACCCTGGTGAACGGGGCCCCCTCTCATGCACCTGCTCTTGCTGCTGCTGCTGCTGCTGGGCCATCAGCCGCCTCCTCCGGTCCAAAGCCATCTGCCGGCGACTGGCCTCCCAGTGGTACGCACTGCCCATGATGGTGGCGGTGACAGAAGGCCCCAGGCAGGGCCCAGGAGGCTGCCACTGCCCCCACCACTTCCGTCTCCTCCCACCTCAACCCCCTGGCCTGTGACCAGAACCACCTCACAATGCGGCCGCTACCGGGGCAACTGGGCATCCCCTCCCCGCCACCCACCCCCGCCAACCCCCACCCACCACCCCCGCCTGCCTTGGGAAGGAGGGGGGTGTTCTTCTCAAGCCTCCTAGAGAGCATCTGTAGAGTACCTTTCTCTCCAGGGCCCTGGGCAGGTAGAAGACACCTTTCCACCTAAGCCTTGAGTTTCAGTGGGCCCCGGGGGACGATCCCCCGAGTGGTCTGGCTTTCCTCTCCGGTTTCTTTCTGCCACCCTTCCCAGGATTCCAGCCTCCTCATCTGGCCCTCTGCTGACCCCTCCCTTCCCTCCTCCCTCAGTCCTCCGTCTCCCCCGCTGTGCTGACTCAAGAACAAACAGGGACTTCCCTGGTGGTCCAGTGGTCGGGACTCCGCGCTTCCACTGCAGGGGGCACAGGTTCCATCCCTGGTTGGGGAACTAAGAGCCCGCATGCCGCGTGGAGCGGCCACAGAAGACAAAAAAAGGAAAAGAAAATACGAGACCCGGCCGGCTCTCACTGAGGTCTGAGCTCTGTGAAGGCAAAGTGGCTTATTAGAAAGTACCCTGGTTCCGGGGATTTGATACGCTGGGCTCAAGCCTACCCTCCCTCTCTTCCTCTGACCCTGGACTCAGCTTACCTCTCTGGGCCTCAGTTTCCTTGCCCGGAAAACCAGAAGGGTAGCACTTGTTACCTTCCTCACGGGGTTCACACGGGACCACGTGGGTCAATGGATGAGAGGTATGTGAAGTGAAATATAAAATTGCTCAGCTACAGGTTGGTATTACTTATTATCCTACCCGATGTGCATCCCGTTGGGGAGGAAAAATTCGTCCTCTAGCCTTCTAGGTTCTGTGGGCTGGTCTAATGACCAGATTGACATCGGACAGACTAATAGGAGAAAAACAGGTATAATTACGTGTGTTCAGGGATCCCATAAGGATACGAGACCCAAGGGCAGCTGAGGCTTGTATGCCCTCCTGAGCTAAGGGATGCGATAAGGGCCTGGGGCTTCAAAGCAGAGAAGGGTGAGTCACCGGGACAAAAAGAAGGGCAGGGCAGACCAGACGTTTGGTAATGGGATGTTTGCCCTGCTATGCAGATGGGTCTCTCAGATAAAAGTTGTCTCTGATAATAACTCTCTCTGAGCCAGGCCCCCTATCTAAATTCTTTTAGGCAGTTGAGGGGGAGGTAGAAAGCTCTTCCTGTGTCCTTGGGGCCTCCACGGCCTTCAACCCAAATAGCCCCGGGCCAAAGTGGCACATTCTGGGGAGAGTCATTTTGAACTCCTTGGGTCTCCAGGAGGTGGAGTGGCCAGGGGAGGGTGTCATTTCGTGAAGCCCAGGGGAAGGCTTCTGGGGGCAGGGACTGGGTGGACTGTTGGTCTTTCCCCAAAGATATAAATTTTTCTAGAAACAGCAGAGGCTGAGTCCAACTGGAAGCAAGAGGAGGGTACAGGTGAAGAAGGGGCTTCGACCCGGCCTCAGCCTCAAGCACTGTTGATGGTGGAGGGAGGGTGCAGGGTGCAGCCCTTGAACCTGAAAACGGGTTCAAACAGAGAGTTTGAACCTCAAACAGAGGGTCTGTCTGTCAATTCAGGCTGCCAGTCTAGTGGAGTCATCTAGCGCTCTGGAGTCAAACAGACTCGGGTTCGATCCTGCCTGTGTCACCGACTACCTGGGGGAACCTGGGCAGGTCACTCAGCGTCTCTGAGCCTCTCCTCTGAAGGTTGTTGCAAGACACTATAGGATGCTTGGGAAGTGCCCGCCGTCACAGGGGGCATCTGGCTATGGCCAGCTGCTGGGGGTGCCCCAGCTCTGCTGAGGGGCCAGTGGGACCTGAGCCTTGCTGGAAAACTTTCTCCCTTTTTCAAAGAGGTGCTATACTCCCTTCTCCTCGTCCTAGCACCCGGGGATGTCATTTGCAACGACAGATACACAAGGGTTTCCAGATACAAAAAATGAAATGGAGGCTTGTCGCTGGACAATTATTTTCACAGCACATTTGCCTTCCTATAGACGAATTCTGCGAATATTTAGGTGGAAAGTACCTATTTTAAGAGAAAGAGAAAGAGAAAGAGAAAGAGAAAGGCACTTGACTGTCTCAGTCATTAAATGGGCAAAAGAGGAAATGGGTTCCTGTTGGTATCTCTTCCTGCCTCGATTTCCCTCTTCCCGTCCTCCTACCTTAGGCAGAACAGGGCTCAGATGTGGAGACGCTCAGGGTAGGGGAGGTGGGCTGGGCTGAATCTGGGGAACTGTTTCCAACCCTCTGAGCCAGTCCTCCTGCGAGAGGAGGGATCTTCAGGGCAAATCTGCCAAGGCTGCGCCCTCCCAATTCTCATCTCCCCTTCCGAGCCCCTCTCGTGCCTTCCCCCTGTGCACGCTGCCTCTCCCAACCCCACCTCTGACCTCAGAGCTCCTTCCAGCTCTAGATTCTACTCCGTAGCCCACTCCACCCCCTGTCGATTTGGATTTTAACTCATATCAGCCCTCAGGGAACTTCCCGTGCTGTTAACTGACTGTAGCCACTTGCACATTGCATTTTTAATAGAGCTTGTTATTATACGGGACCCAGAATCCTTTGCTGTGGAGAGAACAGGGTATAGTTAGAAGCGTGGGCCAGGTAAATCTTATGAAATACCGGCTGCGTTATTTAACAGGCGTGCGAATGCGATCTAGCGGCTCTCCCAGCTCTGATCAGTTTCCTCCCCGGCAGGGTAGGGGTAATGATACCTCCATCCTAGAGGTGTTGTGATGCTGGAAGGAAATAATCCATGTCACACATCGGGTTCAATAAACAGAGGCTTTTATTGTTATAGTAGTTCACGAATTTAAGATGCCATCTTTTGTGAGAGGTACCATTCTTTTACCTAGCCCTAAGAAAGACGGGACGAAGGAAACAAAGAAAGACGTGCTGCGATGTTAAACGGCGAGAGTGCTTTCTCCCGGCGTCGAATGTAAGACGCATGCTGGTTCCTGAGATGTAAAGATGTGAAAACGTTGGGCATCTTGGAATGGACAAAATCAGGCATCCCTATGGAGTGTGACGCCTTCTGTTGGGGGCTGTTGAAAGACCAAAAAGAGAATGTGGGGATTTGCTGGCCTCCGTGATGGCAGGCAAGTTGCGAAAAGCCCAGTTCTTGGTTGAGTCTAACTAGTTTGATGGATCCAGTCTAGCTGGGCAGGAAACTTGCTCTCCAGCACACAGACTCTTATGTTGTAGCGCCAGGACCCCGAGCACATTCGGGGTGGGGGCAGGGGGGTGAGGAGCGGCCGGTCTGCTGGTCCACGCGCACCCCTGATCACGTGGCTGGGAGAAACCATCTCCCTTTCCGACTGCAAAGTCAGAGAGACCGATCCAGTTCTGTTGCTAGTCAGAAAAGTGAAAGCTTTTGTTCTGTGACTGGGAAAAGGGAGAAGGCGGGAGAAAGGAGAACTGAGGGCGAGAGGGCGGGGTCAGAGAGAAGGGAGAGGAGGTCAGAGAAAACAAAACGGTATCTCCCTCCCTGTCTCTTCAACTAGGGCAAGCTGACAAGTGATGAAAAGAAACCTGAGGGAGCTGTCCAAGGGGTCAGGGTAAAACTTGAGGGGAAGGCAGCGCTGCTGCAGGGAGGGCCAGGAAAAACAGATACAGTGAGGCCTGGACTTGAAGAGGCTCTCCTCCCCAGCTGGCAGGGCACCCAGCAGGCTTCTGATGCCCAGGGATGGAACACTTAGGAGCGCTTGGAGTTGGCAGCCTCGGCACGGGCAGACCTTATCTGAGCGCGCAAGGCTTCCTCGACAGCAAAGAGCAGTGGATGTGGTTGAGGGGCAGCCAGAGGAGGGGAATGGAAGAGCGCGGCAGATGCCCCTTGCTGACCACAGGGACAAGGTCATGTTCACCACCTGTGTGATCCCAGGACCCACACAGTGACAGGCACAGAGTTAGGTGTGATACCAGAGAATCAGTTGAATCAAGACTCTTAAAAACAGGATATCAGAAGATTTTCTAAAAAAAAAAAAGAGAAGTCATATATGTGTGTGTGTGTGTGTGTGTGTATACACTCACTTTTTAATATGATAAAGTTGGCATCTGAAACTGATGAGAAGATGGACTATTTCATATATGATATTGGGACAACTGGGTAGCCATCCAGACAAAATAAAGTCAGATCTATACCTGAACTCAAATACTAGGACAGGTGTGAAGTAGGTCAGAGATGGAAACGCAAAAAGATCAACAGTTCAAAAGACGGTGGGCAGGGGATAGGAACGTGCAGTTCACAGAGAATAATAATGGATCTCAAGCGCATGAAAAGCTGTACAACCTTGCTCATAGTAAGAGATAACATTGGATATTATGCAAAAGTTTGATAACATGGTGGTTGGGCAAGGCTGTGGGAAACAGGCACTGGTTGAGAAGGCTATCTGTGCTCTTCCAGTCTCTGTCTCTGGCTTATCATTTCCAACTCCCTGGCAGCAATGATAACTGGGTCCATAGTGAGATTGTAGGACGCTTGGACAAAGTCTCATCACCAGCCAGCCACGTCCTGGTGTTGCCTGAACTTTTATAGGCACTTTTGTCTGTACACAGGGATGTGAGCTGGCTGAG